AACAGAAGTACAGACAGAAAACTCTTTTTTCCATTTAATCCTGACACAGCTTCCAGTCTTTAAATCTAAGACCATTTTACGTCATCACTGATGCATAGCCTTGACGTCATATATATTTTACCAGGTTTTTTGCTAAAATAGGAGTGAAGCTGAGCAAACTAAATATAATTCAGTGTGTTTCTCCATTTATCATTTAGTAGCAAAGCCTCAGTGGTGCCAAAAAAAGAGTGGAGTTGATGTTTAAAACTTTGATAGTCTTTGATAATCAACTTAATCCTGTCTGAGCTGCTGATTGGGTAATAGTTAGTCAATCTGCAACATTTTGTGTTACCATTAATTGAAAAGGCTATGAGTCATTCTCTTCCCTCAATTCTGCTGTTATATCTCAGATTGCATACTTTCGTGTTTACACTTGCTACTTTCAGCATGTTTACATTAACAAGCATAGCTACATGCAGGGAAATACCACCACCATGGTAATGTGTTCATAACAGTCAAGAAGTTATGTTTTCACTCTCAATAGTTGGCATGTGTTGACGTGTTGTTTGGTGTTAACGTGTGTTTCCTTGCTGTCTGCAAAGTAGAAGCTAGATATTTGGCCAAAGGCTTGACAACATATGTGACAAAGCACGTGAAAATGCAGACCGAGAATCCCGACTGTGCACAGAAACAACCAAGAGATGATGCAATCCAGAACAGCCAGACTTCATCAGCCAGAAAGCATCAGAAATTTAGCATTACACAGATTTTAAAATTAAGCATCAGCAAAAGTAAAACTCTATCAGCCCTAATTGTACATTACATAACATATGTATTGTTTTGCTCCTGGGAGAGAACAAAAGTCACTTTAAGATTGGATCTTGAAAGGCATCAGCATACAAAAATATGCCAAATCAAACATGCAGGTGAATAAGGAAGCACTCAGAAGTAGCGTCTTCTATTCAGCAATAAACATTCTTCAACTAAACATCAGCAGGGTTGTATTGTCATTTTGAGCCTTTTGAGCATTTAACTAAAAGTCACTGCTCTATGCTTTTTTCCAGGTGGATTACTCATTTTTCCATCGGACCTATGAAATCCCGAACACACCTTCCTGCAGTGCTAAAGATCTGGCCGAGCAGAAGTACATTCAGAGTTCACGGTCGTCATTCTGTTATGAGAACGAAGTAGCTCTGCAGCTTGCCTCCCCCGACGGTGAGCTGGGTCAAAACCTTGAGTTTGCCTCCCCACCGACCCGGAGGCAATCCATGGCAGAACATCTCCACTACAACTGAACGGAAGGCAAAAAGACAGGAAACCGACTTCAGAGAATGAACTGATATGATGATGGGAGACAGAATAGTAGAGAGAGCCTTGAAGAAACCAGTGTACAATAAAGGATAGGAAGAAACGCTATTTACAGAAGAGGAAGAAATATTTAGTGCGAACATTAGCAAGTTTGGTGTTACTCTTTTGGTGAGTTGGGTTTAGTACACTGACCTAGTTGTCTAATTGGTCCTGGCAATCTTTCAAAATCATTGAAAACTGCTAAGTCTCACATCTGGCCCATCACTACCACAGCACACAGTCTGACTCTAATACCTGACTGACAAGGGTATGCAACAGCGCCCCATGGTGGCTACCACATGTAATTGACCCTCAATTTTTATGACGGGAAGATTTTGATCTCTGTTGGAGGTAATGTTTTAGCTTCTGAGGAATGTATTCCACTAAGATGCTCACTTATCACTTTTGTTCTTTTATTTTCTTATGGTAAGTATGGATTATGCACTTTTTGACATCACGGACTTAGAATGTATTTGAGATAAGCCAAAGCAGAGCAACAGTAACATGGAGAAACAGCTTTAAACTAGCAGCGGTTTTGAGATGTTTGTTCCATGTAGATGTATTTTCTCTGTGTTGTTTGTTTTTTGGCTTTTTTCCATGTGTGATGCAAAGAAAAAGATGTTCACTGATTGTAAACTTTTCTTGATTTTAACATTTTGTGTTGAGTGGAATAGCATGATTGTAGGGTCTCAGACCACACAGGTGATCCAGATGTGATGATCGCCATGCATTGTTTTATGGCGCTACTATCAAAGTATGCTGTTATCTCTTATGTCTGTAAAAGCAGCCTCGCTATTGTTTTGGTGTGCTATTTTTGCATTATTGTACACTTTAACTGAGCTATAATACTGTAATCTTTTAAGTGTTGGTGGTGCAGACTGAATAGTGAATATAAGGCAATAGCATTGGAGACCTACACTCACTTTCCATTTCTACAATTCTGCAAGAAGTGGCTGAAGATCCAACTGGAAACTACATCAGACTCCCAAAAAATTAAATCTGGGTTGTTGGGAGTTTTTTGGCTCATAAAATCATGTAATTTCCTTAGGTGGTAGGTGGTGCCTTCATAACAGAGCAGACATTTTGCAAATGTCCCTTCATCTGCATGATGTTGAAAATGTCCTTGAATTGTATTTTTTTATCATGTGCATTTGCAAGATGACCACTTTTAGTGTGCAGTATGTGCTAAGATGAAAAAACTGAGAAATCCCCATATAAACGTGCCGTGATGAATGAATCTTTTACCCGTAATATAATGTAAGCTATGTAATAGTTGCACTTTCTAGATATATTACAAAGCACCTGAGATATTTCTGTTTATTTTAACATTAATAATTAAGAGTAAATAATGCCACCTCAGTATGTAAGTGTTTGATTGCAGCATGTGTTGGCAAAGTGTGGGGGCCGCAATGCCGTGTTGAGTGTTGACCAGCAATCAGCCTGTCCGACGCACAACCTGGAAACTTGTTGTTTGCACTTTGCACTAATTATGGAGACTAATATCACTGATGAAACTTTACAAAAGCTCAGTAGTGTTGCAGGAACAGCACAGGCTAACTTCAGTGCATCGATCGCACTGTTCTGACTGATAACATATTATCTCTTATAAATAGTGTTAATGCTGTTCCATGTCTGTCTTCCCTTTCACTTCTCTATTATGGCTACCATTTTCTATTTATAGGCTGCACAGGAGGTCATGTCATTTTCTCCCTGCATCCACTTCCATGAAATGTAACTTGAACTTACAGCACCATCACTTTACTATGATGGGACTTTTTAAACACAGCAGAAAGAAATAGATGGATTGATTTGGATTCACTTTTCACAGTACAGTACATTTTATACATAGTGTAAAGCACAGAGTAGTATAATGTAATACCTCTTTTTTAAATAAATTAAGTGATATGAAATCGACAAAAGCTACTGTTCTAGGATTTGGGGGGATTTTCTGAGGAGAAATTTTTCTTTTCTTTTTTTTTGCTCCAGCAGACACTAGATATATAATTTCAGAGCTGCCTCAGGCACAAAGCACTTCCAGAAAAAAGAGAACAGTGTTATAGAAGAAATAAAACATGGGGATTCAATTGTGATTATTGGGTGTGTCCTTATTTATACTCCTTGCACTCTCTGTACTTCACCCAGTTAGCCTATGTTTTAAAAGGGCATTCCACTGCAGCAATTTTACATGAATATCTTCCTTGTGTTGTACTTTCAGTGATTATTTCAGCCAATTACAGAAAATGTGACTAAACAGTTACTGAGTTATTTATAAAGGGGGGGAAAAAACTTTATGATGTAAGTGAAACTGTAGTAATCAAGTGTAATTTGATTAATATGTTTACCCCTTATTTTCTTATCAAAATTCAAATATTAAATGAAAATTATATCACTGCTGATGAATCAGACGTAGAAACACAGCCCGCGAAAAGAATTGTGTTCTGACTAAAAGGACACAGAGCAGGTGTGGCACGGGTGATAAATGTAACCAAGTCAACCAAATATGATTTTTTAGGGAATATAAACAAGGGTTTGATGCAAATCATTAATTCACTGCTGTTCAGCTTGTTTCCTTTTTTTTTTCTTTTATTGAGCAAGCAGCACGGTGGGACAGTGGTTAGCGCTTTTGCCTCACAGCAAGAAGGTCCTGAGTTTGACTTCAATATTTGGCTGCTGACTTTCCGTGTGTGTCTGGGTGCTTTGTCTTCCCCCCACAGTCCATAGACATACAATTAGTGGAACTGAATTAACCGGTGATTCTAAATCACCCATAGGTGTAAACCTACCCCACCCAATGAACAAATGGGTGGGGTAAAAAAACAACAAAAAAACCATGCCAAGTTGAACAGAAAAAGAAAGTTTTCCTGCTTATGCTATGGTAATTCCTCGTGGGGCATTCTCTAAAGGTTCTCAGGAATTTTGTGACATGTAGGTCTGTATTAGAGAATAGAATAGAATAGAATAGAATAGAATAGAATAGAATAGAATAGAATAATCCTTTAATTATACCACAAGGGGAAATTTGGTTGTATCAGCAGCCAAAACACACTTATACAAACAGAACAGGACACAGAATAGAAGCACAATTTTTACATATTTACATCATGGACAGTAGTTACCAAAGCAGAGTACTGTACAGTACAGTATTATTGTTACAGTCACAAATACAAGGACTAGACTCTCTATTATTTTAATTGATTTTATTTTATTGCCAAATTTAATATTATTTAATATATGCGTTACGTTTTGCGTGCAAACAAATATATAATTTTAAAGCAGAAGTTGAGATTTCATAGTTTCTCGCTATTACTCTGATATGATTGGTGTAAATATTTACTTATTTACTAACCGTGCTACTCTTGGAAATTTGGGGTGATCTGAATCAGGCACCTTGAATCAGATCTTTCCAAGAAACCCTGTATTGAGCTTGAAGGTGAAGTCAAACGATTCCGATCCCAGATCAGCGTCTGCAGACACTCGCTGCCAGTCAGTGGTAAACAAAGAGCGCGCAAATCCCCCTACTGTAGCGCGAGAGCTCCGCACGGCACCTGCTCCAGCGCTCCGATTTGCTGTTTGCCATGTCATTCAGAAGAAGCCCCGCCTCACGGCAGTTAGCATTGGTTAAAGGCGGAGACGTCTGCGCCGCTGTTGTCTCGATTCGTCAGCGCGAGCGCTTTATGACCGTTTTAGGGCGGAAAGCTCCCGTCGTATTCAAGAGGCGGGTCTACGGCTCGGTTCTAGATTTTGATTGGACTCCTTTCTCTCTAGACCTGTCTAAAACCCGTCTGCTCGTACTTGGTTGGTCCGCTAGCAGGAAGTCCTTCTCCGAGGCTGAAGCCGCCGAGTTGCCCTCAGTGCTCTCTGTCTATTTTATTCTCACCGAGGAGTGTGTGTTGCTCCACTGTGAGAGCAATGCAATGATAAAAGCCGCATATGCGGTACGCTACACACCTATCAGGCAGGAAAATAACCCAAGAAACAGCCTCATCCCGGTTCCCCTCACACCGCAGCCTTATCCACACCTCAAAGCGGAACCTGAAGGTAAGACATTTAATTGCCTTTACTCTAATCCAACTCGTAAATAGCCAGTGTAATATCCTCAACGTATCATTTTTTTTTAGTGGAGCTGGCTAACCTCGTATGGTTAGTCTAAATGCGGTGGCTTAACGCCTAAATGTGAAACAGCAGAGGGGCTGGGGGCATTTAATTTAGGATTGGTCTTTGTGCTAAAAAAGCCTTTCATCGAAATGACCTGAAGTCTGGCCAAGAAAAGCAATTATTCGACCTTATTTTTAACATTCCGACCCATATTACCAAAATCTGTTGGTCCATTGTGATTTTTGTGTGATAGTAATAATGGTAATGATGGTGGTATTAATATTACCATTGTTATAAATAATAATGATGATAGGAAAAAAAGGTGTTTTTGTGGCTGCCACATGCATGCCGTTCACAGTCATTTAAAGGCTGGGGCCCATATGGTTTTTCATGTCTTACGTTCAAGGTGTGGTTGTCTTCGTCAGGTTTTTTTCCCATTTGAGCTGAAGCTACGGTTTGAAAATGCAGGTTAGTTCACAGAGCTCCAGCTTCGCAGCTGGACTGCTCCTGCAGGCGCCGCACTGCAATTATTACAGCCTGTGGGTTTTTTTTTTTTAATAATAATGTCACCTTTTCCTCAACGTGTCTGCTTTAAGTGCGCAGATGCCACGGTATCGTCCCCGATGCTGTGTGCCACTTGGCATCAAAGCTGAAGAAAAGGCGTTTCCAGCTCCCCCACCCGTCACGCGCAAGCACCCACACAGTAATTACACGCGCACACACATACAGAGAAAAGAGGACCCCCGCAGTGAATGACCTCAGTTCAAACTCACAAGGTATTGTCTAAGGGCTGCTGCTCAGTGTTCAGGGTGTTGCTATGGAGGAGAGCAGTCAAGGTTTGGCAATTCCAGCTGCTGCAGGACGAGTTTGCTGCTTTAGTCCACGATGTACTGCGACATCCTGGGATACGACCGCCTGTGCAAGGAGTTTGCTCCAAGTTAATCGGTGGCATCGATGAGGCTCAGCAGCATCGTGCACTACAGTTACAGAGCTGACAATGCAAAGACCTGACTGATGATAGGGCTGATTGAAGAATAGCCTGTGGAAACAGGTTACATCTCATGCATTTTCTCTTCGTAGAGACATAATTCATATGTCAGATTGTTATTTCTAAGCCCAAAACGAACAATACACTCTGACTGCTAATAAGTTTTACCCCAACCCCGATAGAGCACATTTCTTTGTGGCATTTAGAGGTATTAAATGCATATTAGTCAGCCACATGATTCACTCACATGACATGTTTGTACATTACTTCATCAATGCTGGCTGCAGTAAACCCATGTTTCTCTTCTCCTGGAAATAGTCTGTATATAGTCCCAGGCAAATAAAGTGTTTGTTGTTATATTTATTTAAAACTACATTACCCAGAAATATGAGAAAGTAGTAAGAAATAGACTTGGGGCTGAGTGGCACATGTGGGAAGTTTGAACTTAATAACAGTTGCACAGCTGTTTTATGTCACCCTGGGATCACATATTTTCCATACTGACTGTCTGGGTGGTGGCGACTCTTTTGTCAGCATGTTTACTCCACACCCACAGTTGTATTAAGGTTACAGGTATGGTAATCACAGGGCTGGGGACAGACGGGCCAAAAAAAGTGAGATGAATAGCAAGAATCAAGCTCGATGACATACCTGTTAAAGCATGGAGGATAGGCCTAAAGCTAACACACTCACCCTATACGACGGCACAAAAGCCTGTCTGGTCAGACTTGACTTGTTCAAAGGTAATCCCTTGTGCTTGTTTCAGAGGAATGTGTGTTAGCTCATTCCTTCATAAAACTGAATTCTGTTAATTTCAATGACCTCACACAAAAAAAAAAATCACCTGCATACTCACCATTTAGACCATCAGATGCCACAGATTTATATTAACATGACACTAATAGCTGAAGCTGGGATGCTAGAAAGATTAATCAAAAGGTTAATGTTATTTTAGGGAATCTAATTATCTGTTAACTAACAGATAATAAAACCATCTTGCTATCAGTGGTACAGTAAGTAGGTCCCAGGTTCAAACCCTGGCCCTTCTTGTCCAGTTAACAGGTTTTTCCTTTGCTTACAATGATTTTCTCTGGGAAATCCAGTTTCTCCCATTATCAAAAAAACCTGCTTAGTTAATGCTTCCTGTCTCAACCCAGATTAAGATTCTCTTTTGCAAGAAGGTCTTAATCTCAAGAGTTTCGCTTCCTGGTTCAATAGAAGATATGGAAAGTCTTAAAACACCTCTTGGCCTTTATTTGGGTAGATTAAAAAAAACATTATCTAAACCAACTTAAATATCAGTATCATGAGGACAAAAATGAAATGTGTGCATAGAATCACCAGGCAAATCTGCAAAAAAGTATAATTTTTTTAGCTGTTATAACAAATTTGCTTTACACATGAAACATCTGCAGTTTAAGACCAGGAGGAGACTGAAACCCAGTCCTGAGGGATACAAGCTCCTGCATTCCCAGTTCTATTCCCAGGCCTAGATAAATGGGAGGGTTGTATCAGGAAGGATATCCAGCATAACATCTGCGCTAAATCAAAAAGCCTGGATAACCATCTGCTGTGGTGACCCCTTGGCATTAGGGGAGCCACCTAAAGCACCTATACCTTACTCCACTCCGAGCATCTCTGCTGTTGCCATAGATTTCAGTTCAGCATACTCTGAGCGCATTTTTGACATTTCCATTTTTTTTCTAGATTAATTTTTTTTGTTCTGTTAAAAGTCAGAAAGTATCATAATGTAATAATTTATAATAATGTACATTATCACGTCAGCAGCTCACAATATCAACTCAAAATGTCCTCACTTTACTTTCAGAGATTCAAAGAGATTAAAATAGCATCAAATATTCATTTTTGTTTTACTGATTGTTTCTCATTAAGTGATGAATAAAATAAATAAAGCAGTGGTAACAGCTGCCACACCTGCAACCGGGCTTTTCTGGTTGGCTTTATTGCCCCTCCTAGTATATTTCTTAGTTGTCTGAGTAGCTGAATCATTATGTTGTAGTACTGCAGTGATCCTGGCTATAGTTTGCCTTCATGTGTTAGATTAGCTGCCACTTTTAGACTGTCACCTCGTCTTCCACAGGACCCCAGCCCCTAAGGCGAATCAGCATTTTGGCACCACTGTGTCCAAGTCCTCAGTGAGAGGGCCTCTACAGTTTTATCTCTGCTGAGTCCAGTGGGCTCTAGTGCTTCATCTATTTCAAGTTAACAATAGATCCAGTCCATTTTGATCTCCTCTTCTTACTGCTTTCCCACCCTTTTCCCTTCCCATCCTTCCCCCTCTTCACTGTCATGTCAGTTTACTCAGTGGATTGATGTATCTCGCTGTTCCTCCACCCCTCCAGCTCTCCACCCAGCCATCTCTCTGTCTTTCTTTCATTCCTGTCTTCTCCTTGATTTGCTGTGTCTTTCAATTAGGCCATCGCTGGCCAAAACTCGGCTGGATATGGCTTGCGTGCTACTATTGCTCTTCCTATATATGTGGGTGCGTGGTTGGTTGCACATCAAGTGTGAGATGTCTTGGCACAGAATCACATTAGTATCACAGTACGACAGTCCTTTATATCCTCTGCAGAGCTCCAGTTTGTAGGCCTGTGGCAAGAAGTGGCTCAACAGGGAATGACTTTTTGTTGCGCCCTTTTTTTCATGTCTAATTCTCTCCTTACCTAGTGCCAGAAGTACCATGTCCAGGCCAACGGGGGGCGGTGCCAACGATGTCACCCGCTTCCTGTCATCGGGCACAGCGCCAGGGTCTCCCAACTCCAACAACTCTATGTTCTCTGCTGCCAGCCAGGCTGACTGGGCAGCTAAGAGGCTGGTGTGGGTGCCCTCAGAGAAACAAGGCTTCGAGGTGAGCTGCCATGACATGCGGTGCACAAGCACAAACATTTCAAATGCAGGATGTTAACACAATAGACAAGTTTCACTTGTTTTCTCATTCCTTCCTTCCACTGTCTGAGTTTGTTAATCCCCTGGTGAATTATTGGCCCTGAGTGTGTGCCCTTAGTTAAAGGTGTGTCAGACAGGTCAGGCACAGACATGGGCTGTGTGTGTGTGTGTGTGTGTGTGTGTGTGTGTGTGTGTGTGTGTGTGTGTCACATTTTTTATGTTTGAGGAGGTTTTTGTTACTATAGCAGTGCTCTATTTTTTCATCTTGTTGGATTATTTACTTTTGATTTGTGATGGTTACTTACATATGTAACTATGTAAGGTCTAAGTCATCAGCAGCGATTACCTCTACCTCTATTACCTCTAAGCATGCACGTCAGCTTGATAAGACCTCAGAGGGTTAAGTGTAGTTACTATCACAGGCACAGTCTTACAATTTTATATTTTTGATTACGTTATTTACTTTTGTCATTTAAATTGTTTTACTTCCACTTAGTTTCCAGTTGTGATTTGCTCATTTCAGTTTGGCCTTTAGTCTTTAAAAATATTTAGTTTCATTTTCTTTACAATTTAAATGTGGGTGTATCCATCATGGACAAGTTTTCACAAGCTCAGAAAAGATATTACAGTAAAAAGAAAAAAACTTGATGTCATTTAGACATTCCAGTAAAAAGAACAAACAAAAGCGTCACCATGCTTGTTGTGCTGAAACATTTAACCACATTGATCCGTACTAAAACTAAGCACATGTCTCAGTTCAGAATTTATCTTTATTTCATTTATCTAAAATGTTTTTCACACCTTATTTGGTTAACTGTAACAGCCTTGATCATGAGGCCCTCATGTTATTTGTCTCACTTCACCTTGCTACTTGTCTAATGCTCATGACAAGTTTGCAGTGTGCATGTTGAAGGAAGTGACATAAGAATTTGAAGATTTGTCTCGCAGCCTCTCTCTGTCTCTGCTGGACTCGTTTCATAAAAAAGCTCTATGAATAGAACAATACGCTCCTTCAGCCTCCCAATGTTAAAGAGGCCTTTGCAGAGACACTGACTTCATTTTACAATCATGATCAAGCACACACACACATACACACACACACACACACATACACACACACACACACCCATAGCACCACACACAAAGCATAGTCTCACACACACACACACACACACACACACACACACACACACACACACAGAAAGGCATGCACACTGTCATCTAGTTTCATATTCTTAGCTGGTAGTTCAGTGTGACTAACATTCACCCACATGAATGCAAACACACACAAACACACACACATTTTGCGTGTTGTGCATATCAAGTAGTGGAGAGAATAAAATGCAGCAGAGCAGGGTCCTGCAACATGGTCAGAGCTTGAGATCAGTACTTCCTGTCCAACAAGCACGAGATCAGCAGCGTGACAAAGGAGGTCGTCTCTGTCCTCATCTGTCACCGTCTATTCTCGTCATGCTGTCAAATGTAATGACACTCATGCTCCAAACCACACTTGGTCCCATTCTGACAAACATTTCTTTTAAATATAGTTACAATGTTTGCTGTATTTTAAATGTGGGTAGGAGTTTTTTCTTCTTCTGAGGTGTAGTAAATGTGTGCATTCATTTTGGCAGTTTTCTTTAGCAAACTTCAATTTACGTGAATGAAGTTCGACCTGATGTGCAGGCTTTCTGTTCTCCTCTAAGCTGAATAGAACTATACAGCTTAATATGCTTGATACAGGAAACTGTTTAACAGTTCGTTTGTTTTTTAAGTCAAAGATACATTTATTATAAGTGTCATCTGTTTGGAAAGCTGTTCTGAGTGATTTTGAGTCTGCCAAGTAGCATCTTCATAGCATCGTTGTGATCCAACAAACAGTCTGCCCAAAAATCCTTTTATTAAACAAGTTTCATTTTGTTCTCAGTTACGAGGTGAAAACTCCTCAATGTTTTTCTATTAAATCCAGTCTGCCAGCATCCGAGAGGAGCGCGGTGATGAGGTGGAGGTGGAGCTGACAGACAGCCAGCGGCGGGTGACCTTGTCCAGGGAGGAGGTGCAGCGTATGAACCCTCCGCGCTTCAGCAAAGTGGAGGACATGGCCGACCTCACCTGCCTCAATGAAGCGTCGGTGCTGCACAACCTGAGAGAGAGATACTACTCTGGCCTGATCTATGTGAGTGCACCAACCACAGCTCACACTGTACACACATGCATTAGCAAAAGGAAGCAGTCGCTGGACACGTGAAGTCCTGGATGTTGTGTACATGTGAAGTGCGGTGGGATCTCTTGTGTAAGCTGATATGCATCGGTAAGAGATGCATTTCAGCTTGTGTGGAGTCAGTTTACGAAGTTGTTGTGTGGGTGTGGGGCAGCTATGGGGGCATCTTCAGTTTCTGCTGGGAAAAAAAAAAGGGGGGGGGTGCAGATGTAAGATATCAGTGAAGTGGCATTTAAAGAGAAATAACATAAAGAAAATTGACTCGATTAAATGCAGAGCTTCCTGTTAATGATGTGTAAATAATGGAGGATGCTAAATAAGAGATGGAAAGTCAGGAACGCAGAGAGATTGTTGGAATAGCTTTGAAGGGTGTATCATACTATTGGATAAGATAGGTGTGGGGGGCTTTCATGACTTTCATTTATGCAGCAATCATCATGGGAGCTTTATTGGTGTTGACACACTGTGTGTCATCACTGACTGTGTTTACAAGAGGTGCAATTTTTCTTTGAATTTTTAAAATCAATCCTTCTGTGCACAATCCTGTGCATTAATATGTAACCCGGGATGCTCTATACAATCTTGGCAGCACTGTTGCCTCCCTTCTGTGCTTTCTGCTAAAGCAACAGTTTAATGAGATCGTGATACTGCAGATTTTACACAGGCCGCCCACAGAACATGTAATTTTTGTCAGTCTACTGCAGTCTGGCCTAAATTACTTGTATTAAGTGTGTCAGAGGTCAGAAAAGTTGCAGATTTTGAAAAACAGTCATTAAACTCACTATCTTCTTCATAAAGTTGTATTTTTGAATTATAGAGTATAAAGAATAGGACTATGAGAGGGTAAGACAGTTATATTCTGCTGGGATTGACATCCCCCACGTAAAATTAGGTCAGTGTGAATCTCTCTCTCCTGTGTGTGTTTTCTTCTAGACATATTCAGGGCTTTTCTGTGTGGTTGTGAACCCATACAAGAACCTGCCAATCTACACAGAATCCATTGTGGAAATGTACCGAGGCAAGAAACGCCACGAGATGCCCCCTCACATCTACGCCATATCAGAGGCTGCTTATCGCAGCATGCTGCAAGGTACTTAGTACTGTCTGTGACCTCTAACCCTTAGTTAACTCTGACCCTGTACATGTTCCGTGATCTTTGATCACTAAGCCACATTGTGAATACTGTTTCAAGGTGTGGTATATTCCTGGCTTTTATCAAAAGCCTGAAAAGTTAAAACAAATATACGGGATGGTATTTTTACAACTGAGATTTCCAAGAGTGGCACTCCTTTTAACGAACAGTCAATCCAGTGATATAACTGTGTATTCGTTGTGGTTAACCGCATAACTTTACATGTAATAGCAATTACTGACAGATACTTTTCATGCCCTCCCCGCCTTTCATGTAGAGTTTATTAAATGAGACAGAAAGGGTCGGTTGAGCAATGTCTCTGCCTTTGAGTGACTACCTGAGATAACAGAACAGGGCAGATGAGACTCTTTAGTCGAAATTACTACCTCACACCTCTTTAAGGGTAGGTGTGTTACCGAGGTGATTCAACCTGTATGACCAGTATGAATTCCTCCAGGCTGAGCGCGTGGGAATCTTGAAAGCAACTGCAAGCAATGTTGCAAACAGTGTCCACCCATTGACTACCAGTGTTGAGTGGTTTGGCAGCCTGGAGAGACCAGTTCAGCTGGTGACCAGCTTTGCTTTACAGCTCTTATTGAAAAGAAGTGACTGACATGCAGAGAAAAAGGGCTCAAATACACAGAATATTTATTTATTTGGCTGCATGGATTTCCACAGCACTTCATGCCCAGTTTGTGGGGGTGGAGGTTTAATATAACATGAGCCAGCTAATGCCTTAGAAAGCCTCTTCACTTCCATGGAGCAATCTACAGTGTGTTATTTCAAGGAATCATATGTCATTTATGTAATTCATTTTTATTCATTTTAGCCAAACTTGTTGTTGAACGGTTGGCGTTTTATGTCGCCCCCATGACCTTGTGACGTGTTTTCTCTCCCACAGACAGAGAAGATCAGTCAATCCTCTGCACGTGAGTAGCCTGCAGCAAGACATCAGTGTGTCTCTGTGTACATGCTTTGTCATTTGGGAGGAGAATTTTTCTAGTGTTTGCTGGAGTCCTTCTGCATTTGTATATTTGGTGTGCATTTGCTTTAATTAGTATGCATTGAGGCCTGCATGCACTCATGTGTTTATATTTGTAGCTAAATGTGGTGCAAATCAAAACACTCTGGTCCTTTTATATAGATCAGAAGAGGAAAATGTGATAATTTCAGATTTTATCTGGGATTTTATATTTTTTCCAAGAAAAAAACAAAAATCTCAGCTGAGTAAATTTGCATCTTAGTAATTCTTCCATGTAGCTACGTACACAGTTTCTATAATTGAGCGAAAAATAACACAGAAAATCGACTAAGACTTCAGTACCATATTGTGAATATAGCCAGCCTCCTGTCTGTGTGCACCCTACCTGCTTGCTTGCCTCTGATCCTACCATCCTGCTCTTCTTCCTGCCAGACTCTTCCTGTCATTGTCAAGGCTCCCAAATCAGGCTCATCTCGAGTCAGTCTCAAAGTGTGTGTGTGGAACAATTCGGCTGATTCTTTCAGATCTTTTACAGCTGCTATTTTTGTTCCTTTCTCCTCCATTATTTTCCAAAAGCAACAACACTAGCATAGCCTATATCCTTCACACCTGCCTTCTGTTTAGACCTGTGGTCTTTGAATGCACTGCATGGGCTCTAATGTTTATTATTGTGACGAGTGTGCGTTTGGCCACTTGTTCATGTGGATTCTCTCTCTGTAAAAATTATATATACCAATTCATGATTGAGACCATATGTTGAAGACCGAACATTTAGGCCAACAGGGGAATTAGCTGTGTTCCTTACATAGTTTTGTGTTTGTGTTTCAGAGGAGAGTCCGGAGCTGGGAAAACGGAGAACACTAAGAAAGTCATCCAGTATCTGGCTCATGTTGCCTCCTCCCATAAAGGTGGCACTCTGGGTAGAAAAAAGGAAGCTGTGCAGGTATGTTACAGCAGAGGTGCAACAGAACAGAAGAAGAGCAGCTTGGAGAACACATCACATACAGAAAGGCTTTATAGAAACTTGGGAATAAAACAGGAGGGGAATGACAGGAAGGATAGAATGGGTGAAGAAATAACTAAGGATTGATGTGAGAAACCATTAACTGCAGTCTGCACTCTAAATACTGTACAGTTTAAATGAACCCAGTTACAACTATTTCAGGTTGACATTGCTGTTTACGTATTAGGCAGTCTTCGACCACTAAATCACCAATCTAGGAAGAGTATTGCATGTTTTAAGCGTGAAATGCTGCCCAGCTGGTGTATATGTAAAGAAAGACTGACGCTACTCTTGATGTCTTACAATTAACTTTGGGTCTAAAAACAGGGGCTGTTAGTGTAGAAAGACTAAAAACTAATTGGAAACAGCTTGAAAAGATTGTCTTACTTTCTGTGACTCATGTACTGCAGTGTTTTAAGTGATTATTAAAGGGAGGCTGTGGAGCTTAGCTGTAAATTAAACTGTTGTGTTTATATTGAGTGTTACTCTCCAAAATGCATTGTGTGTCTAACAATCATGTCGAGTCAGCTTCCTTCCTTATAAAACCATATGTTAGCTCCTGCATTGTTGACATCCAACTTCATGAGCTAGCACTCTTCTTCTTCTCCTTCTTCTTCTTCTTTTCTTTTTTTTCTTTCTTTATCTTCTTCTTCCCTGTTAATTGATATGATAAGACATACCAGGTTTTCTGTAGGTGCAGTTAAGTTTATTGTATCTTAGCTCGGAGTGGGCTTCCTCTTTGAATCATTCTGAGCATTATTTCTTACCTTCCTTCCTGCACTGGTTTTTCCTTCATTTTCTTTCGTCTGCACTGTCCTTCTCTCTTGCCTGCATGTTCAGATGGACGGCTCTAGGTCCTTAACAAGAGGCAGCACTATAGTGAACAGGGTGAGTTAACTCTGTCTTGCTGCCCTGTCCTTACTTTTGCTTTTCTCCTGCCCTGATTTCTGCCTAATGAACTCCAACTAACTCAAAGCATAGTAACCTTAAACCATTGAACTGTCATTGTTAATATTGTTGCTCATTAACAGTGAAGCCCTAGACAGTATATTCGATTTAGACTGTTTCTGTTCTTTTGTTTGTTGTTATGATTGTTGTCTTATTTGTCTTATTTGTCTTTTTATTGTTTGTTTGTTTATCCAATCCACATGTTTGTCCATCCACCCAATCTCCTCCCCCTTAAAACTTCATTTTTTTCCACACACAATTCACCAGAGTATGCAATATGTGAGTATGAAATATTTAGAAAACTTGGGTTTTTATTTATGGGGAGTCCTTTTTTAAAAGTGAAACTCTTCCTGTAGAATATTTACAGGACCTGATATGATTGTCTTGCTTCATAGTGAGAATCATATCTTCCTTCTTTCTGACTTTCATCTGAATAACCCGTGGTCTTGTGGGTCTTTAGTTCTGGTAGTTAGTTCAGTCTCTACTGTTATACTCAGCGGGCAGGTGGTTGCAAAGTGTTTCTGCTGTAGATGTGGTTTTAATAACACAAACTGAACATGATGCAATTGAATGATGTGGGAGCGGGTGTGTTGTTGCAGCTGTTTGTGTGTACAGCGTTTGAAGTGTACATACTCAACTATATGGCTTTGTTAATGTGTGCAGTGCACACATTGTTTGCTCTGTGTTTTGTCGCTATCAAAGGGCTGGCCTCTTGCTCTCTCTGTGTGCGTCTGCCTTTTGTGTTGACTGACTGGCATTCTTTGATAGTTTTTGCCATAAAACCATCTCCTGTAACTACCTCCTTTGATGCTCATTGCTGGCTGCTGCTGCATCGTCAGCTGCTGCATCGGCAGTGCGACAACTGCAATAATGCATTGCAGCGAGCTTGAATCAGCCAATATGTAGCTTCACATCTCGCTGTGTAACAGTGCTTCTCAACCAAGTCGATAGTAGCCCTTTATTGATTTTAAAAATCAATAAAAAGGTTTCAAAAAGGAAGTTATTAAACATATGAAAAGCAAATGTGCAACATAATTGATCCCCTTATCACGGATTGCTAATGAGAGACAAGCATTTAAATTATGTTGAGAATCATTTGTTCTTGTGACGGGGAATGGGGAGTGTGTTGGATGCTATATTGGGCCCTAAAATGCATCAGTATGTGTCACTGCTCTTCAAGACTGAGTCATGTATTTTTTTGTATTTTACATAACAGATCGTTAGTTCCTCTCAGCAGAGCAGTGTTAACGTGTGCATTTTAGTCCAGAGGCCACCATAGAAGTCTTTCTGTGAAGCTGTCATGTCTGTAGTTTTGTCTGATCAGACGTCTCCTCTGTTTCACAGGGTGAGCTGGAGAGACAGCTGCTGCAGGCCAACCCTATACTGGAGGCCTTCGGCAACGCAAAGACTGTCAAGAACGATAACTCCTCTAGATTTGTAAGAGTTGACTAGATTCATTAATCGGATAGATAAAGTTCTGCCGTCAGTATAAAAAGAAATGAACTGAAACATGAGCCACCTCTCCTGCTTTTTCAGGGTAAATTCATTCGTATCAATTTTGACGTGGCGGGATACATTGTTGGTGCCAACATTGAAACCTGTATCTTTCTGCTTACTTTGTGAAACTGCACTTCCTCCTGCCTTTACAGCAAAGGGGAGTGAGAAGGCAGACGGTCTTTCTGAATTTTTACTTGAATGCTTGCTTGTCCGTGTTCATTTGGAAAGCATTTAAGGGTTTACCTGTGTACCATACTAGAAACAACTTTAAAATGGTTGCACATATCCATAACTATATAAATTCAGACCTCCTTGAAAAGTCTCGGGCCACCCGTCAGGCCAAGGATGAGAGGACTTTCCACATCTTTTACCAGTTGTTATGTGGAGCGTCAGAGGAAACTCGAGGTGAATACAAGTGTCATTATAAAACATATATGCTATTTTTGCAAAACCGACTAGTAAACTGTGTCTAAAACTTGCTGTATTTTATGTCTTTAGCGGACTTGCTCTTAGGAACTGCTGATCAGTATCGCTTTCTCAGTGGAGGCTCGATACCTGTTCCTGGTCAGAGCGATTCAGAGAATTTCACCCAGACTATGGACTCCATGGCTATTATGGGCTTCAACCCCGAGGAGTCGATGTGTAAGAGAACAGAGGCGGGAAAAAAAATTGGGTATTTTGTGTCTTCAATCCTTGCTATGAATCACCTTCCTCCTCCCTGTCTTACTTCTCTGCAGCCATGCTGAAGGTGATCTCTGCTGTGCTCCAGTTCGGGAATATATCCTTCATGAAGGAGAAGAACCATGACCAGGCGTCCATGCCTGATAACACAGCTGCTCAGAAACTCTGCCATCTGCTGGGCATCAATGTGCTGGAGTTCACTCGGGCCATCCTCACCCCAAGGATCAAAGTAGGCCGAGAGTATGTGCAGAAAGCCCAGACTAAAGAACAAGTAAGATCTTATATGCAAAAAAGGCACACATGCTCATACATAAACAAACATTTGTCCCTGTGGAGTGTGACTATACATACATTTTCTCCTAGGCTGACTTTGCTGTGGAGGCCCTGGCAAAGGCAACATACGAGCGTCTGTTCAGATGGCTGGTCCACAGGATCAACAGAGCTCTGGATCGCAGACAGAGACAGGGAGCCTCCTTCATAGGCATCCTTGATATCGCTGGATTTGAGATCTTCCAGGTGTGTTCATGTGATGATGCAGTATAGTGAGAAGTTTAACCCAATCTAGCACAGAGGATGACTTTGTTCTCAAAATATAATAAATTGTCTGTAATTAAGTGAAACATGTAACATTAAGGGATATTTCTAGCATTATATTTGTATTTTTTGTGGAGAATAAAACAGCATTACAGATGTGCAGTGGTGTGAATTATATACAGTTTTATGTCTTTACAAATCCAACAATGTACCTGTACTTTTTCAGTGTACATAACATGAATTTTTCTATCTTTGTTTGCTTTTCTAAACCGATCCTATGCAGCTCAACTCCTTTGAGCAGCTGTGCATCAACTACACCAACGAGAAGCTGCAGCAGCTCTTCAACCACACCATGTTCATCCTGGAGCAGGAGGAGTACCAGCGAGAGGGCATCGAGTGGAACTTTATTGACTTTGGCCTGGACTTACAGCCCTGCATTGACCTCATCGAGAGACCAGTACATGCATACTAAAACACATTTTTACTTTTCATGAGATGAGACTAGATGCTGATAACTGATATGTGCTTTCCATACAGATGGGACAACAGATTGTTTATTTATAGTTAAATAAAGTGCATATTGTGAACGAGCCCACTGATTAACTAATACAAGCAAACAGCATCAAATAATTCTTTAATATTTTGTCATTTTGAATGAGGAAGTCCACATTTTGCTAATAATTTCCCCTCTATTCATGTCAGGCCAACGCACCTGGTGTTCTGGCCCTTCTTGATGAAGAGTGCTGGTTCCCTCGGGCCACAGATCGCTCATTTGTGGAGAAGCTGTCTGCTGAGCAAGGCAGCCATCCAAAATTCTTCAAATCAAAGCAGCCACGTGGGGAAGCTGACTTCTCCATTATTCACTACGCTGGAAAGGTATCCCTTGACTTTTGTTTTTCTTTATTTTTTCCTTTCAAATTTAGGCAACCCACGTTTTGACTTTCAGTGATGATCTGTCTCAGCTTTGATTTCTACCATGTGACCTCTCCTTCCACAGGTGGACTACAAGGCAAATGATTGGTTAGTGAAGAACATGGATCCCCTGAACGACAATGTGGCGTCTCTTCTCCACCAGTCGTCTGATCATTTTGTCTCAGAGCTTTGGAAAGAGGGTGAGACTTTCTGTTTCACACACTTTCTAAATGCTGCCTTTACAGATTTTGTATTGAAAACTTCAGCATTTTTTGCAACTGTGCCAGTTATAAATATTTAAGCTATTCTGGTGCAAAAATGTATTAACGTTACTACATTTCTCTCCTCTCTTACATGCCGTTTCTTTCTCGCTTTCTTCTGTTCTGTCTCCTTCTTGTCTTCTCCTCTTTTGCCTGCTCTTTATCCCTTTTGGGCTCCTATCCTTTCCTATGATCTTGCTCCCTGTGGTCTCCTGATGCTTCCCGATCAGACATTCAAACTCTTCCTCGTGTGTACTTCTTTGACTCCTATGCCACACTGCAGACTAATGGCGCAGACAGTAGGTTTTTGTACCTCCTTACAATCCTCCCTCCGGCCACTGTTGTTTGCTGGCTGCCCAGTTTTTGTTGTCTTTATTGCTTTTTCTGCCATTTCCCCTCTTTTTAGTTGATGTTTTTGTGGTAGTGTTGTGTTGTATCATGTTGTCTCTGTGCTGTTGTGTTGCTCTCTAATTTCTCTTTTACCACGTTTTTGGCCTTCAGTAAAAGTGCCGTAACTCTGTGGTGACACATTTCTTCACTGATAGTAATTCTCGTAGTGATTCTTGTCTGTAGAAGTTTCACTTCATTTGTCACAAAAGCCACATTCAGGATCACCTTAGAGTGTCTGCCTGTAACTAGAAGAGCTCTATTGAATTCAATTCAATAATTTAAAATGAGTAATTGGTTGGCCCGGACACATTTATAGTCATGTTAATTAACGTGCATGGTCTCTAAACAAAAAAAATGAAAGCGTGCTTGCGTGCAGAAATGTGATCCTGAATCAGCTTTAGAGACGCAACATGTTGCTTTAGAGTATTGACATGTAAATAGCGTAGCATGGTTTAACCAGTGTAGACCTTTAGCTTTAGTCATCAGTGATCAGTGTGTTTTTTTAGTTTAGATCACATCTGATGAACTGGAGCATATTGATCTGAGTGGTGATACTGGCCTCTCTGTTCTTTCTACTTTTTACTCCTGTGTATGAAATTAGCTTCATACACTTAACAAAATAAACCATCAGTCTTTTCAGGCAGATCTGCAGCTTTGCCTGTGCAGACATGTCCAAAGTTGACAGGTTGAGCTTGAAAAACATTACCTGTGAAACTCATGCACTGTATTAAGTGTGTGTGTGTGTGTGTGTGTGTGTGTGTGTGTGTGTGTGTGTGTGTGTGTGTGTGTGTGTGTGTGTGTACTGGCTGTGGAAATAGATGCTATGGTTCTAGTTTTAAAAACTAATGATGGCCGAAATCCATCTCATATATTATTTCTGTCCAGAGCTTGATGGGAGATATGAAACCAGGTGTTGTTGCTATTGTGTAATAGCATTAACCTGTTCACTCACTCATTAAATGCCAAATCATGCTTTTTTATTTATTTATTTTTAACTTCAGCTAATTGATCATTTCTGCCAAAAGTGAGACCCTGTGCTCTGTTTCCTTCTAGTGGACAGGATTGTGGGTCTGGACCAGGTGTCGTCAGGAGAGAGCAGCGCGCCGGTCACATTTGGAGCAGCAGGACTGAAGACGAAGAAAGGAATGTTTAGGACTGTTGGGCAGCTTTACAAGGAGTCTCTTACCAAGCTGATGGCCACACTGAGGAACACCAACCCTAACTTCCTCCGCTGCATTATCCCCAACCACGAGAAGAGGGTGAGGCAGGCGGTCAGGATGAACTAGTGAGAAGAAATAATAGCCTTCTTTCTGCTGACTCTTTACCCATTTACTTTTCTTCAGCCCGGTAAGCTTTCCCCTCACCTGGTTTTAGACCAGCTGAGATGTAATGGTGTTTTGGAGGGCATCCGTATATGCAGACAAGGATTCCCTAACCGCATCCCGTTCCAGGAGTTCAGACAGAGGTGCGTATTTGTGATGGTCTTTTTGATTCGTGAAGTGTGAACTACACGCACACACTTCATGCCACTTTAAGAATCTTTTATGGCCCCTGCCAGTAGACCTTTCTGCTCATCGTATCATTCACTCAATCGCACATTTATCATTTGTCTTCCAGATATGAGATCCTAACCCCTAATGCCATTCCTCGCACCTTCATGGATGGCAAACAGGCATCAGAACTCATGGTATGTAACTTTCAAGCAGCTAAAACTTCACAGCATTACATACAGTTGTTCAGATAGAAGCTTGACCAACTCCCCTGCTGCTCTTCTAGATCAGTGCTTTAGAGCTGGATAAAAACCTGTTCAGGGTGGGTCAGAGTAAAGTCTTCTTCAGAGCTGGAGTCCTAGCTCACCTGGAAGAAGAAAGAGACCTAAAGATAACTGATACCATCATACGCTTCCAGAGCGCTGCCAGAGGCTTTCTCTCACGCAAGTAAGACTAATTACTAATAGAGAACTATTATAGGCATCTCATTAGTTTTTAATGTCTTTTATATATAAATTCAATATAAAATATAAATGGAAGAATAAGATGAAATTCATGTTACTTTAGTTATTGGTCAGTTTAACAGCCTTTTTTGCTACCTGAGGTAAAAGAGATGGAGGATGATAAACATGTAGTACGGGTGAGGTTTCTCTGCAGCGCTAGTATCTTTGCGGTTGGCAGTTTTGTATTTCACTCTTAAAGGAGCATTAATATTTAACAATTTGTCAGCCCCTATCAGTGACTCAGGTGTTGCAACAGTTTTGAAAGGTATTTGGCAAAGCCTGAATTACATAATTCATTATGGTTATATGTTTACACTGGTGACTAAATGGAAAAAAGTCTATTCATTGTTATACGTCATTTGATTAATCTGGTGTCAGGTACATTTCTGTCATACATTTAAGACACAAAATAAGTTTCAGTTGTTTTACATAATCTATTGTTTAAAGATTTATTAAGAATAACAAGACTTAATTTTTAGTCTAAAAGTTTCCATGTCCCGAAAAAGTCTCCCCAATAATGACGTTTATTAATAAACTTCACGATGTTAGTGATATCCTAAAACAGCAAAGTAAATATGTGGAAGGTGTGTTGGAGAACAGGGTAAAACATATTTATATGGACCAAAACTCATTACCAATAATTTGAAAGTTGTTTGTTAACCCTGTCAAACACCTGCTGATATTACTCAATATTGCAGCACCTTTTCAGGTGAATACAGCACGTGTTAACACCTCTAATTCTAGACACTGTGCAATATTAAATAAAAATGTGAGTCTCATTGATGCATTTTGTTTGTTTTATTGCTTTCAGAGCCTTTTTGAAGAAGCAACAGCAGCTTAGTGCTCTGAGGGTGATGCAGCGGAACTGTGCTGCTTACCTCAAACTCAGGAACTGGCAGTGGTGGCGACTATTTACTAAGGTGCTGTGCAAACTTCTCAACATAGACATGAAATGCAACCCACATTAAACATAATATACAACTAAAGGCAAGGCAGTGTGAGAGTAGAAAACCTTGTAACGTTGGGAATATTCTTTATATTTACCCCTTTCATCTCACCCAAACAGGTGAAGCCCTTGCTGCAGGTGACACGACAGGATGAGGAGATCCAAACCCGGGAAGCAGCGCTACAAAAAGCCAAAGAACAACTCACCCGAGCGGAGCAGGACTACACAGAGCTGGACAGGAAGCACGTTCAGGTAAACAAACCTCATCCTCATTGTGCTTCCTATCCACCACAGTTTTGTCTTTGCCTGTCTTACTGTCAGTCGGGGCCTCACTCATCACCACTCCTCCGTTTCTGTCACATTGTAGCTGATAGAGGAAAAGGCAGTGCTGGCTGACCAGCTGCAAGCAGAGGCAGAGCTGTTTGCAGAGGCGGAGGAGATGAGGGCCAGGTTAGCCAGTCGGAAACAGGAGCTGGAGGAGGTTCTGGGCGAGCTGGAGACTCGACTGGAGGAAGAGGAGGAGAGGGGTGTGCAACTGGCCAATGAGAAGAAGAAAATGCAGCAGAATATACAGGTTATAAAGTTGCTGTCTTTTTATGTCAAAACTTTGTAAGAATGATTGTAAATTGACATTAAAACAAGCTTACCTTGACATTGCTTTCTCTGGTTTTGTCAGGACCTAGAGGAGCAGTTAGAGGAGGAGGAAAGCGCCAGACAACGCCTCCTGCTGGAGAAGGTTACCCTGGAGACCAAAGTAAAGAGTCTGGAGACAGACCTGGTCACTGCAGTAGAGCAAAGAGACCGACTCGGCAAGGTGAGCGTCACATTAAATTTTGTCAAGCAATGAAAAAAAGGTTGTTTCACAACCTTAATAGCAAACCCAAGCATTACAGCAATACAATTACAGTTGCACACTTACATTTTTCTTCATTATGTTGGCTTCATTCAACATGATGAGACTGGGATTGCAATGAGGTAAAATGGGTCAGGAAGGGTTGCTACTTGAAAGCAATTATTCCTGCACAGTTACTAATAAAAAAATGTTTCACGCATCATCGTTTCTCTCTGAGCAGGAAAAGAAACAGCTGGAGGAGCGTCTGAATGAGGTCACCGACCAGCTCACTGAAGAAGAGGAAAAGACAAAAAGTTTGAACAAGCTCAAGAACAAACAGGAAGCTGTCATCGCTGACTTGGAGGGTAACTATGCTAAACGAATTTTGACCTTCACACAAATTTGTTTCCACACAAGTAATCACACTAAGGTTGACATTTATGTATTCAAGAAGCAGGTGTCCCAGCAGGAATGGACGCTCGAGTCCCGTCACATGCCCATAGATAGACAGACAGACAGACAGACAGAGATCATATGTCGCTGCATGAAGCTTTAAAATCAAGAGCTCCATTTGTACTTAGATCGAAAACAACATGCGGAAGACTTATTTGAAAGTAAATATGTCCAGAGCTTTTACACCTGCAAGAATCTTTCAGGCAGGTAAAAAAAATTCCTGTTTGATCTCAAAGATTTGACGAATTAGTCTACTCGTCTGTCAAGAGCTGCAGTTACACGTGTCAGGTCTGCTGAAGGTGCAGCCTGCTTCCCAGTTACAGGAATGCAACACCATCCCAGATGGTAGTGCGGAGGGGTTTTTGTATTTATTAGTGCTGTACAGTGTAACTGATGTGCAACAATCAGAAAGTAATGATTTATTTCTGTCACTCACTGGTTTGTTTTGACAAACATACCTCCTTCTGTTCAGGCACCTTATAGATGCACTATCCTTTTCTCTCTTAAGCCCAAATTCAGCTACTTGACAGTAAAATAACTCCAACAGAATGGTTTAAATCACAGTCTGAAGTTTAACTGTCTAATCCAGAATTCTATAAAAATATCTGAACATTTAACAAAATAGTCAAAACTCTGATTTTTGTGCACCCTTACTGAATGGAGGAGTCTGTTTTTTGCAGTGTCAGGGTTTCTGCAGTCAAAGCAAGGAGCATGACTCAAACTTAGGGTGAACAAGGCAGCCAAGAACTGTTTTAAGGTAGTTTACTGTTGGAGAACAGATATAAGTACAGGTACTAATGAAGAAAGTGGAAACAAGTTGAGGTAGGTGTGGCATGACAGGAGTTTAGTGACATCTGGTGGGTAGATGGGGAAATGCAGGCTTATTTACAACTGTAATAACTTTACTGTTTAAATTCTGTGATTTGTAACTTACTCCATTGCTATTTGCAGAGCGCCTAAAGCGTGAAGAGCAGGGTCGCTTAGAACAGGAGAAGTTTAAGAGGAGGATGGAGAGTGAAGCTATGGAGGCCCAGGAGCAGCTGTCAGACCTGGGAATGCTGTCCTCTGAGCTGAGAGGCAGTCTGGCTCAAAAGGAAAAAGAAATCACCTCCCTGCAGGGCCGGTGAGACACAGAAAAGTATCAGAGACGCAGTAACTAAAATATAAGCCTGTAATGGATTTTTGAAGTTTTTTTGTGAATCTCTCAGGTTGGAGGAAGAAGGTGCACGCCGTGCTGAAGCTCAGAGGTCTCTAAGGGAGGCCTTGTCCCAAGTGTCAGAGCTGAAGGAGGAAGTAGAGAATGAACGAGGGATGCGGGAAAGAGCAGAGAAACAACGGCGAGACCTGAGTGAGGAGCTGGAGGCTTTGAGAACTGAGCTAGAGGACACTCTGGACAGCACAGCTGCACAACAGGAGCTCAGGTAGATGATGAGGACAAAACAAAGTTTACATTTAGTGTTTTTGTTATCAGACCAGAACTCACACTTCTTATAACTCCACAGGTCTCGACGGGAAGCAGAGTTAAGTGAGCTCCAACGATGTGTTGAAGAGGAGACTCGCCGGCACGAGATCCAGCTTTCAGAAGTCAGAGTCAAACACAGCGCTGCCTTAGACAGCCTGCAGGAGCAGCTGGACAACAGCAAGAGAGTACGAGAAACACAGAAAAATTCAAATGCACATGCATGGAGACATGCGCAGTCTCTCACCGTGTCTCACCCATGCTCTGCTTCAGGCACGACAGTCCCTTGATAAAGCCAAGGCAGCGCTGGAGGAGGAGAGGCAGAATTTGACCTCTGAGCTCAAAAGCCTCCAAGCGAGTCGCTCAGAGAGCGAGAGGGGTCGTAAGAGGGCGGATAACCAGCTACAGGAACTGAGCGCCCGTCTGGCTCAGGCTGACAGAGAGAGGGAGGACAGGGAGGAGCGAATCCACAAGCTGCAGGTACAAATGAATAGGTACCAGTTTACTGGTTTGTGGTTTTAAGGTGTGTCAGTAAAGAAGTATTCTGTTTCTGTTCTGTTGAATGAATTTAACCTAAATGTGTCTCTTTTAGTGTGAGATTGAGTCCCTCTCCGGCAATCTGTCCTCCTCTGACTCCAAGTCTCTTCGGCTCGCTAAAGAAATGAGCAGCCTGGAGAGCCAGCTGCATGATGCAAGGGTAACAAATGCACACAGACACCAAGGCTGCATTTGATTTGGACATTAGCCTTTGACTGTTACAGACTCCTCATGTTTAAAAAAGAAAAAGTAACTATTTCTTTAAAGTCCAGAAGAAAATCCTCTGACTGTAGGAAATTAAAAGAACTTGATCCACTGATGACTCAAAAACAACCTCATATGCACCATTGCTCTTCTCTTTTAGGAACTGCTACAGGACGAAAGTCGCCAGAAGATGGCCCTTGCCTCAAGGGTGCGAGCACTGGAGGAGGAGAAGAATGGACTGATGGAACGACTGGAGGAGGAGGAGGAAAGAGGCAAAGAGCTGAGCCGACAGATCCAAACTCACAGCCAGCAGGTAAGTCTGAGGGCCGCAGTGAAACTGCTGCTTTAGAAAGATATCAGTTAACATTTTTCATAAAATCACAGAAGTGCTTTCCTTCAGACAGTCAGTATTAAATGTAAAGTTTTCTGTCTATATCTATGACTTATGTATGCACCCTGTGTCTGTTTTACTTCTACAGCTGACAGAGCTACGTAAGCAGTCAGAGGAGGTGAACAGTGCCGTGGAAGCTGGCGATGAGATACGCAGGAAGCTCCAGAGAGAGCTGGACAGTGCCATTCAAAGAGAGCGACAGAAGGAGGAGGAGAAAGAAAGAGTGGAGAGGCAGAGGGAGCGACTGAGGGAGGAAATAGAGGACATGACCATTGCCCTGCAGAGAGAGAGGCAGAACTGCACGGCCCTCGAAAAAAGGCAAAAGAAATTTGACCAGGTTAGAAACATATCACTGCTTCTCACATACGCACAAAGGCTGCAAATGTCTTTATGCGCAGTAACATTACCTCCTTGACCCCCCCAGTGCCTGGCAGAGGAGAAGGCGGTGAGTGCTCGGCTTGCAGAAGAGAGGGACAGAGCAGAAGCAGACAGCAGAGAGAAGGAAACAAGATGTCTAGCACTGTCCCGAGCCCTGCAGGTAAATTATTTGATAGACGGCACATAAATGTTTTTCATACATCTGTGTTTGTGATGGTAAATCGTCTGTCTTTCTGTGCGTAGGAGGCTCAGGACCAAAAAGAAGAGCTAGAGAGAGCCAACAAGCAGCTCCGTCTAGAAATGGAGCAGCTGGTGAACCAGCAGGACGATGTGGGCAAAAATGTAAGACTGTACACCTTGGGACTCTTTTTTTATTATTTCTGTCTCAGTCCTCTGTGAGTCACCATTTCTTAAATGCTTGTGCGTCAGGTCCATGAGCTGGAGCGCACACGGAGGACCTTGGAAACAGAAGCACAGAACCTGCGCATTCAGACGCAGGAGCTGGAGGAGGAGCTGTCAGAGGCAGAGAACTCAAGACTGAGGCTGGAGGTCACCCTGCAGGCGCTTAAGGCTCAGTTTGAAAGGGAGATCAGCAGCAACGAGGAAAAGGGAGAGGAGAAGAGAAGGGCCCTGAGCAAACAGGTAGGATGGAGAATGAAAAAGGAAAGTGCTGGTGTTTCTGGTATGTACTTTTTGTCCAAGTTAATCAGATTGTTTATGTTCTTCTTTTGATCCCAGGCAAGGGAGTTAGAGATCCAGCTGGAGGAGGAGAGGAGTCAGCGGTCTCAGTCTGTGTCATCCAAGAAGCAGCTGGAAGCAGAACTGCAGGAAGCTGAGGCCCAGGTGGAGACAGCCAACCGTGGCAAAGAGGAGGCGATGAAGCAGCTTCGAAGGCTGCAGGTAAAACAGGGTACCCACACCTATTTAAAAAGTCAGTTTCCTGTAAATGTCAGTGTACTTAATTTAAAAATATCCTTATCAGGGTCAAATGAAGGAGGTTCTGCGCGAGCTAGATGAGGCAAAGGTGACTCGAGATGACGTCATCTCCCAATCAAAAGACAGTGAAAAGAAAATCCAAACACTGGAAGCAGAGGTCCTGCATCTTACAGAGGTGTGTATGTCTATGTCTGTGCAAAAAAACCCCATCCAATATAAATATTAAGATATCTTGCATTTGTTTTTAACCAATCTTTTCTGTCTGCATGAACGTCTTTGTGCAGGAGCTGGCTGTATCAGAGAGGCAGAAGCGACAGGCCCAGCAGGAGAGAGACGAGATAGCAGACGAGATGGTCAGCAGCAGTTCTGGAAAGTGAGTTTAACTTTACCTCTGATGCATTTTGTTGATTTGAGGGGGGGTTTGTGCACCTGTGGTGTTGTTACTGAGATTGCCTTTGTCCAGGAATGTGCTGAGCGAAGAGAAGCGGAGGTTGGACGCACGAGTCAATCAGCTGGAAGAAGAGCTGGAAGAAGAGCAGACTAACAGTGAACTGTTGACAGAGAGACTACGGAAGACAGCCCTACAGGTATGTTCACTCTACAAGTGTCTCGGTCACACACTTTGAAGCACACACTCATCACAGCTACATTTCAACTGCAGGTGGAGACTCTGACTGTGCAGCTGCAGGGAGAGAGGACTCTGGCCCAGAAAGCAGAGGCGGCTCGAGAGCAGCTGGAGAAGCAGAACAAGGAGCTGAAGGCCCGGCTTGGGGAGATGGAGGGAGCAGTAAGGGGCAAACATAGGATGAGTGTCGCTGCCCTGGAGGCAAAAATTGAGACGATGGAGGAGCAGCTGGAACAAGAGAGACAGTACGAGAAACAGACACATGCATCAGTACAAAAATCTTCCAGTTTACAAAGCTGTAACCTGCTAAAAAGAATTCAGGAATTAAATTGTTTTATAACACAAACTGTACATAAAAATAGACAAGGACTCTTTGGAATCACCCTTTGGTTTGCAGCTACCATTTGAAGTCCACAATTTAGTATTTTGTCCTTTACTTTATTTTTTTAATTTTTGTTTGGACTAGAGGTAGTTGTCAGCTAATGCTAGCCCCCACTAGCTAACAAGGAGCGTCTATAATTTATATTGAACTGGATTCTAACTTTGGTTGGTGAAAAATCTACTTACAAGAAAACAGACTTACTGGAGACACTGAACAGTCATCTCTTTATGGGCTCTTTTAGAAAAACCAAATGCTGAAAGAAGCTTTGTATTAAATCATGAATAGGTTCAGGCCTTAGTTTAATTTTTCAGTGGTGTAGGCCGCTTCTTGTTTCATACATAAAACTAAGAGTTTCTTTATCAGTTTAAAGTAAATTTGTTAGTTACATTGAATATTAATAATAATAATAATGTACACTTTATTGATCCCCATGGGTAAATTACTCTCTCTGCATTTGACCCATTCACTCAGTGAAGCAGTGGGCAGCCACTAAGCAGGCGCACCAGGGAGCAGTGTGCTGCTCCTTTGCTTAGGGGTAGCCGTTCAGTGGATTCAAATCCCCCGACCTTCCAATCATGGGGCGACCACTCTACCTACTGAGCTATGCCTGCCCCAATTGGGCCCTTTATAAATGTGTTAATTAGAACAGAGCTTGAAAACCTACCTATACAGTCACTGGACACCTTGCTAGTATCAGGTCTCAGCCTTAATTTCATTCAGATTGGCCTTACTTCTTCATGGCAAAGATTCAACAAGGTGCTGGAAACATTTTGCTCCATGTTGACATGACAGCATCACACAGTTGCTGCAGATTTGTCGACTGCACATCCATGATGTGAATTCCCCTTTCTACGAAATCCAAAAGCTGGTCTGCTGGACTGGGATCTGGTGACTGAGGAGGCCATTTGAGAATAATGATCTCAAAAAACCTATTTGAGATTACTTGAATCAAATTATGAATGTGAATGTGAAAGTATCCAGTTGTCCTGCTGGAAGCAGGCATCAAGAGATTGGTACACTTAAATCACCTTTCTTCCCCATTCTAAATTTCAGTTTGGTCTTTAGCAGTTGCTGCCATGTGATTGGCTGAGTAGGTGTATGTCTAAAGGAGCAGTTCAATAATTGTACCTAATAAAGTGGCCTATGATAATAGGTTACATTTACAACATTTATTAACAAAACGACACATGCGAACTGTGCCGTGATTGTAAATACATGGCATGGGGCGTATGAGGGTTTTCAGTGTTATAGGCCAAGCAATTACTGCCGGACAGATTTAGAATCACTAAACATCCGAGGGAAAAAAAGTCATCATTGATTGTAACAACCCTGTTTGTCCCTCAGGGAGCGAGCAATTGCCAACAAACTGATGCGGAAGACGGAAAAGAAACTGAAGGAGGTGATGATGCAGGCAGAAGATGAGAGGAGGCATGCAGACCAGTACAGAGAGCAGGTGAGAAAATTAAGATTACCCTGACTGCACCGTGCAGGTCAGTCACATTTATCTAAGTATGCTCAGAATAGCATTGTCAACAACAGGGCATTAAATAATCATTTAATGGGTATCAGGTCAGCTAAGCTTGCTGCTTTAATTGTGTCCGAGGGCAGTGTGTTGAAAAATCATCCTAAAATGAGTGATTTATCCAGCTCAGTCCAGACTAATCCTAATCCTGCATTGGCATCTGTGTGTTCATCGTGAAGTTAGAACATGTTCCACCACAAAATATAAATCCCTCAGTCACAGCAGAGACACTGACTCTCCTCCCAAAGCATCATCTGCAATAATCTGCCAGGTTTAATCTGACTCCTGATCCCCATCGGTCCTCCTGTCCTCACACTAATCTCTCCATTTAAATATCTGTCCCTGCTCCTTCTTCTTGGTCTCTCTTTTCCTGCAATCTCTTGTCAACTCGACCTCTCTGCTGCGCTCTGTCCTTTCCCTCCTCTTCCTCCTCCCTGCTCTTCTCCTGCAGCTGGATAAGTCGATGGTCCGACTGAAGCAGCTGAAGAGGCAGCTGGAGGAGGTGGAGGAGGAGAACTCTCGCTCCAGTGCCCAGAAGAGGAAGCTGCAGAGGGAGCTGGAGGAACTCACTGACAGCAGCCAGACCATGAACCGCGAGATATCCTCCCTCCGCAACCAGCTCAGGTAAGTGTGTGTGTGTGAGTGTGTTGGTTCATGTATTTATCTGTGGCTTCACTTACTGTTGATTTTGTTAACACCCCATTAATTTCTCATCGTTTTTTTTTTTTTGCTTTGCTCTTTTGTTGCGTCCATTTTTGTCCACGTAACACTGACACATTACCCATCTGTCTGCGACACTCAGCTTCCCCGAATGGAGACCAGATATGTAGGTCATTGTTTTTTTTATTATTATTATTTCTTGTTCTCATTTGTTTGTCTGTTGTCTTGTGTGTTTGTCTTTGTGTTTGTGTATGAAAAGCCTGCAGCTTTCCATACACAAACACAAAGTTGAGTAGTTTGCTTATATTTTTGTCTCTAGCATATTTACACAGTTCTCTGTTTAGGGGGAAAAAATAGCTTTCTTGGTGAAATTTGGATGGAAAGTTTGAATATTCTTAGTCATTTTTTAGAAAGAGTGGAAACAGTTAACCTGAAAATGTTAAACGTTAATTCTGAGCCCTGTTTTTTGGAATCTCATAAACTAAACAGTTAAGTAACTGAATAATAATAAAAACACATTTTTTAACTCCCGCTTCCTTTTTGTCCAGACGTGCTGCGCTGCCTCTGTCGATGCGTGGACGCAGAGCATTGGTTGATGACCTTTCATTAGAGAACTCCGATTCAGAAGAGCCTCCTGCCTCACCCACCCCCTCCTCTGGGGTCCCAGGGACCCCGACTCCGTCCTCAGAACACAGCCTGGACCCTCCGCCTCCCTACAGTGTCAACAACGCAGAGTGACAGGCACACATCTGCTTAGCTACACAAACAACGCACACGCACACACAAGCATCAGCCTCAGAGCCTCGACTGCTCGCGGTGATGCAGAGGCAGGCACACAGCACATAGCTACACTAGTTTTAAATTAAATGCCATGTAGGATAAATATCAGGCAGTTAGTTGTAAAGCATCCTCCCTGATATAGCGATGCTCTTTAAGATTTTGCCTCATTTTTTTCTCAACAAGTACAGAAAATGTGTTTTAAAAAAAAAGAAATTTTACAAAGCGTCAACTGGAATTGATTTTATTTTATAAAACAACAAAGACTTGAAGTTTCTACATTACCACCTCTGTAATGCACTTCTCATAAACTAAACTACATCTGCTCACTAAGCAGTAAAAAACTTTTACATTTGGATTTATTTACAAACATTTGATGTGGATTGAATACACAGATCAGGGCTGCTGGAAGATGACAATCTGTATTCATGTTACACGAGCAGTCAAGTACACACATGGAGCGGAGAATTCGCCTTCGATATGAGTGTGAGTTAACTTTTTAAACTTGGAAGAATTTGGCAAAAAGAAAGAAAATTGTCATCTAAACACAGTGCTGCACATTTTCTAAGTTGGCCTAACAGATAATAATAAGAAACCGGGATGCATTACATCGTTTTCATATCACCTGTCACAATTACAGTGACACAAAGAGCTGAAAGCAGCCGACATGCAGACAGACTCGCTGCTTTAGACGATAAACTCTTTTCTATAGATTAGAAACAGTACGTTGTTAGACCACGCAGTAGATAGTATTAGATAGTTTCTTTATCTTAAAGTCTTAACATATTGCATCAGAAATTTTGAATTTGTATAATTTATATCAAATACCAACTTAAGTTATTGATCACTGCTTGTTTTCTGTCTTGTGTGTGTGTGTGTGGGGGGGGGGGCATGTTAGTCTGAAAATTCCTCTTCATGCTGGCTCTGAACCAGGTTACTTTAAAGGACAGCTAAGACTTGTTTCTGTCAGCATCTCAGCATCGGGTTGCAGATGTGAATTTGCATGGAAGACCTCTCTGGTTAACATTATTGCTGGTTTTAAAAAGAAAAAGGAAAAGGGGAAAGAAGAAGAAGTACACATTTATGGATTCTCTTCAATGGCAACATAACTGGAAATGACTTGTGGAGGACTGTATTCATTCATATTTTTATCCAAAGCAGAACAAATGGTTAGAATGGGTCTTATTTTCTTGTTTTAGAACGATAAAGGCGTTACATTTTATTTTGACAAGCATCTTGTACACTGTAAGGTTGATTTTACTGGTTTACTGTGTAAATTATTAATCAAACAAAGCTTTTCTGTTTAACCAAACGGTGGGCGTACGGATGAGAAAAGGGACTTAAATTTGTAGTTACCGTAGAGTAGCTGTAGAATAGAATAGATGACGGGAGTAGAGGCTGGTTGGGTTTTCTAACATGTCTTGAGTAGAATAAACTCTGCCTCTGCTCGCGGGTCCTGTGTAGAAGATTAGAATATAACTGAGCGTTAGGCTCAAAGCATTTTCATGGACTAGTAGTGTTAGATTTAAAAAAAAAAAAAGACAGTGGAAACAATGAGGAGTGAACTTTTATGGAGTAAATGGCAAATAGAAAAAGAAGTTGCTTTTCTTTTTTTTACCCTGTCAACTCAAGATGACATTATCTTACACCTGCTCTGATAACCCTGCTGTGAAGCCCACTTTTAAAGTTTTTTCTTCAGACCGTCTCCATTGTCATATCTTCTATTTTTAAAAGATGGCCTTTTTTATAGCTTTTATATAGTTTAGTTTATGACCTTCTGCTGCACTGGGGGGGTCTTAACAAATTGGCAGATGCTGTCTAAAGAAGCAGTTCAACCTTTTGGGAAATTTTCTTTCTTGCTTAATGTTAGTATCAGTCTCTTTTTTACCTGCATTTTAAAGCTGCAGCCAGTTAACTTAGCAAATAGGAACTGGGGAACATATAGTCTGGCCTCACTGTGAAACCTGACATTCATATCTGCAGAAGAAGCTGAGCTACAAAAAGAAAAAAGTGGCAATTTCACCTGCAGGTTATGTGTACAACTATTTTTTAATTATTAAATTACCAAATTTGGTTGAGTCTAATTTTAGAATTAAAATTTTAAAAGGGCTGTCTTTTTACCTGGCTAGGTTCGAGATCAGTTCTTTGGAAGGAGAGTTAAATGAGATATAAAACACCTCTGACTTGGGCTTTAGCTTTTGTCAAGTCAGCTAAAGCCTCAGTCATACATACTAGAAATCAGCTGGCAACCTCCAGTTGCTAGGGAAAAATCTGTATAACCCCACTCAACTGGCAAGTGGTTGCTGGAGGTTGCTGGCTGTCATCAGGCGAGTGCTGCAGCAAAAACCTTGTTGTGATTTCTTTGGTGGCTAGCAGGTTGCACTTCCATGCCAGCTATGGTCATGGTCAGTTTGTATGGAAGACTCTTAGTGCTGCTTAGCAAGTAAATTGGGAATGTTGAAAACAAGTCTGCGCCTTCCATGTAAGCTACTGACGACTGCCGGTCACTATGCCTGTGTGACGGGGGCCTAACGTAAAGAAAGCCTGCCTATGTTGAACTCTCCTCCAGTAATCCAGTAATGTAGTAATATAATTCTTTAATTTTCCACCTAACAAACTGGATATTACTCAATAATCTACAAACCTTATGTGCTGATAGGATAGGTGAATTCAGTTGTTTTTAGGGTTTCTGCCTTTATGCTAAGCTAACTAGCTGCTGGGTGTAGTTTTGCATTAAATGTACAGACCTGTGAAAGCCACAGATCATCTAATGAAAGCCAATTTCCCAAATGGCACAAATACAACGAATGTCACTGATGCTTTAACTGGAAAATCTGAACTAATGAAAGCTTCGGATCATGTAGCTGAAACCATAAATGTTGCTCTGAATGTCAGAATCAGAATCGCGTTTATTGGCCATGTATATGCACATACAAGGAATTTGGTTCTGGTAGATGATGGCTCTCAAGCACAGCCATGTAAATCACAACAACATGTAAAAAACACAATACACACACACACACACACACGCATATATATACATGTACACATGCATACACATACATACACGAACATACACAAAGCTGTGTAAACCAACCATAAATAACCAATCTAAATGTTATATACATAAAATACAGGATGAGAGAAATGAAGTGAAGTGAAATGAATACCACAGAATGTACATAAGGTACAGGTAAGGTTCTGATTCTGAATGTGTTTATTATTCTAAATCAGCGGTCCCCAACCTTTTTTGAACCACGGACTGGTTAATGTCCGACAATATTTTCACGGACCGGCCATTAAGGTGTTGCGCAGATAAATACAACAAAATAAAATGATACGACCAAGTCAAAAAGTGTGGTATTTTTTAAATATAATAATAAACACGAATTCACTTTGTAATTGTGTTTCCTCCTGAACAACATTGAGAGTAACATCCACCTCTCTGATGCTTAATGCCCTCTGGTCGCTATGGTAACACGTAAATATTTCTTTCAAAATAATACACACAACTACAACACGGGAAAAGACCCAGGGAAACCGAGTTAACGACAAAAACCCTGAAAACCATACATGTCATACCCGGGCCTCAACTCGCGGCCTGGTATTAAACGACTCATGGACCAGTACCGGTCCGGGGATTGGGGACCACTGTTCTAAATAGTCCTATATTATCTACACTATACGGAAAAGAATCAATAATCCTGGTGGAGTTTATCATTGATTACACACGTGACCACTACAGTAGTTTTCGGTAATCAGGGTTGTCATCACTGTTTAAGTTAACATGCCTCTGATGAACTGATAAAAACAATTTTATTAATCTGCAGTCATCCCACATGCATCCATATTTTTTGCCATGCCATGATTCACAGTTAGTGACAGAAAAAATATGTGACTCAAGAAAGACTACTGACGACATATATTTAACACCCAACTAAAGGGTTTTAATTTTTATTTTCTGTATGTGTTACTCTTTTGTTTTAGTAATATCCAAAGGGTTTTGATTGAACTTTTATGTTTCTTTTAGTTTTTTTGTGTAAATGCTGCACTTTATAGTGTAAAACAACCAGACACTGTCAGTACGTTCTGTCTGCTTTGTCACGCGGTTTGTCACAAAAAAAGGCCGACATAGCATCAAGCCAAATGAGCTGACGTGGTCTCTCTGAACTACTCAATAACTCTTATTAAACAATGTGTATCAAATAGACCAAAATCTGAAGACAAACGGATTAAACCGCTGGATCGAGGGCAAAAGAGCTCTGTTTACCTGTAGCAAGAGACAAGGCCGGTGCTTCTCAAAAGTGTTATTTTACTTTTCTCTGTCTGTGTTTGTTTATGGCGACTGTGGAACCATTTTGAAAATGTGTTTTATTGTTTTAGCCTCTTTTTTAAATTATGCTGTAATAATAAAACATCTGACCGGGGTTAACTTTAATATATGTCGTTGGTTATTATTATTACTTTGTGTCCATTTTATTTGGATAATGGGTAACATTTCATACTCCTCACTGTAATCAGTGCACAGACTGACACTCTTACATGTTAAACATAACCCATACTGTAAAAAAAAAAAAAAGAATTCCATAGAAAAACGGAAAATGTCCTGGTAATTTTCTGCCAGTACATTTTCTGGGGTTTTTTTTTGTTTTTTTTTACAGAAGTTGAAGAACCTTTCCATAAATGATCAAATGGAAAATTCAGTAGATTTACAGTATACTCTCTGTAGTATTTATGGACATTTGCTTCAGTTATAAAATGGAAAATAATATTACCATTTACAGACACCTCTTTTCACTGTAACTCATGAAATGTAGTTCTTTATATCCTTAACCATACATTTCTATACAATTACAAACTAATATACCATTTGCTCAAAAATTCATAAATTAAAACTTTTTAAATTAATCTGTGCTTAGTACACAAAAACATTGGTAAAATTAATGTTAAACAATCGTTTATTCTCCTCAAAATATAATGACAGCATCCAATCTCATCATAAAACAACTAAACAGCTAATACATACACAAAATAATGCACAAACTTTCAAATTTGAGCATTTTTATTTCCTTGAAATCAGTTTGCTGTCATGTAAATTTGTATATACATTCAATCAAGTGGCTCCAAGTGTTTTCTTTAAACATGACACCTGACAAATAAAAAATGTAATGATTAACGATATGTTCACATTTAATAATATCCAGAGTACGTTTAAGTTAGAATCACAGCCTTGTGGTTGTTTTTGCCTCAGCCAAACAGTTAAGGTGTGGTTTACATCCATGTCTGTCCTCTTATGATACAGTATACACATGTACTCCAGGAACAAAAAGACATTTTAAAAAGTTTCTTTTTTGTTGCTGTCGTTTATGTCTAAGTTTAAAAAAAAATGAATAAAAATACAAAGGATTAGGGCTGTGTAATATGACCAAAATATCATATCCGGAAATAAGACATTTCTCATTCTGATAATCATATATATCACAGAATAGTGCATTGTCTGTACACTCTGGGTGTTGTGTACCTGGAGTCGAGTGTTTTGACCGATGTATGAAACTATATATTTTTTAGACATAAGTTGTAGTTGCCTCATCTTCACTGGCCATGCTGGTATTTTCTGTGCCTGTATCCATATGGTGACCATCCAAACAATGAACAAATATTGCGGTGAACACTGTATTTTGTGACACCACGAAACAAATGATATATGATAAATGATAAGGATAAATATGAAACGATGGGTGTTTTCATTTCATCATCCTATATCTATCGTCATATCGAGCAGCCCAACTAAGGATTATAATACATGTAGAGTTGCATACACATAACAGCATTCTGTTGCAACATAAGCAGTTTATAATGAAATTAACATACATACCTTGAAAAAACTAAATCAACCACTACATTAAACTCACCTTGACCAGGCTTTTTCTTCATTTTCTGACACCAGCTGCTCTGGATCATCACCACCTTGCATCTTCATCTTTTTTTCACTCGGTGAAGTCTTTCCTTTTCTTGGCTCTGAACTGAAAAACCAAAGTGTGTGATCTAGGGCTGCCACGATTAGTCGACTAATCACGATTATGTCGACTATCAAAATGGTCGACAACTAATTTAATAATCGACACGTCGTTTGAAGCTTTGTAAGATCTCAAAAGACGCAGGAATAAGTAGCAGGATTTAAGAGTGTAATAACGGACTGAAACAGAAGATGGTAGCACTGCATGTACAAGGATGCCAGCTGCCGTTAAACCCCGAAGAAGAAGAAGCGGTGTCCGGTAACGTAGCTGTGTCCAAATTCAGGAACGGCTTCCTCCTGTGCCCGCATTTGTATGCCAATTACGTTACAGCAACACAACGAAGACTGTCCAAATTCGAAGCTGTGTAAACCTCAAATATCTGCTCAGTTTATCAAGACACCACATATTCTCAAAAGCGCTCCGATGTTTTCGGAGACGTCAGTTACCCACCAGCTCGATAGCTAGCTGGGGTTCATGAGAGAGATCTTTTTTCAGTATTTTATTTGTCCATCCATCCATCTTCTTCCGCTTATCCGAGGTCGGGTCGCGGGGGTAGCACTAAGCAAGAAGGTTTTCCAGTCAGTTCCGGTCAGGTCGCTCTCAGCCAGCCTCCTCCAGCGTTTATCAAGACACCACCATATTTGCTATATTTTATTTGTTCCTGAGTAAATCGGTTTGGCTGAGATTAAAGTTATAGTTTTTACACAGCTGAATAAACGTCAAGCAGACAACTGATTATCAGAAGTGTGAGATGCTCGAGAATATACTCCGGTGTCCTGTTATATTTTAAATAGCAAGGAGGGTTTATTAGCAACTCCATCAAAACAATCTGCAAATGTCATTAAAATTTAATAAACTATCATCTTGTCTTTATTTTTAGTTAGCACCAGGTTAGTCAAGTTACTTGAAAAAAGTAATCAGTAACTAATTACTGATTACTTCCCCAAAAAGTAATCCCGTTACTTTACTGATTACTTATTTTCAAAAGTAATTAATTACTTAGTTACTTAGTTATTTTTAAAAACACGATATTACAACCTGAATAGGTGATAAAGCGATAGATCTTTCAACCCAATTCTACTTTTTCAAGTTCAAGTTCAAATTTTATTCGCCACATGCAGTGCAGGTTGCCCTGCAGTGGAATGAACCCGCCCCCCGACCTTACACACACAACACAGACATCACATGGGGATACAAGTCAGAGAACGGTTGCATTACAGAAAAAACACTGAAATGTACACTACAATGGGAAAGTACAAGAGGAAAAAAGAGACCTCTACTCATGCTGGGCTATAGGAGGACAGCATGAGAACAGGAAACAAAAAAACTCCTCTGCACAGAAAGCACATAAATGTCCACAGTACAACATTATAGAGCACGTGACCAGCAACAGGGTTGGGTAGGGGATAAGGAGTAATCCCAGGCAACACAGCAGCCATCCTGCCACTGCGCCGACTCTCCAGCGGGGCCCAGACCCGCCTCGTGTTCCCAGGAGGCAACAAGCATCGAAGGCATTGGAAGGGGAGGGGGGATGTGTGAGTGCTTATCAGTGTAAATGTATGTGTGTGCGTGTCCATAGTTCAGCTGAGACAGTGTCCTTCGCCCTACCAGGCTAAGTAAACAGTCTACCAGCCAACCCAGGTGGCCTTGCATAGAGTGGGAAGAACAGTCAACACACAGTCGTTATCAGGGAGTTTTTGTTCGGCTCCAGCCTTGAGCCCACAGCTGGCACCGAGGGGTATCCGCATTGATGTTGATGTTGTTGATTTTTCTTTTATGCGAGCAGCTCATGAGAATTTCAAAGCTGTTCTTTAACACTCCGACACTGGTCTCTCAATCTCCCGTTGGAGAACCGTGAGCTTCTCCACGATGTTATCAAACTTATGATTTGTGGTCTTCTCATTCTTGTATGATGCATAATCCATCATACAAAATGTAATCAAATGGAAAAGTCTCTTTTTTTTACTTGTTTTATCAGTTTTAATCTTTTAACTTTATGCATCAAGCAAAAATTTAATTATATGCAACATTCTCTGACTTGAAGAAATTAGTTTAACATTTAAACCTATTTTCTGCACATTCCAGCACATAAAATAAAATATTTTTTGTGTTTACACTCACTCTTTCAAATAGATGCAAGTAAAACACAGCAGAAAATAAATAAAGTCAAAGACTAGCGGTCCTGTTGCTCTATTTTCACCTGTAAAGCAGGAGTGGGTAGGCGGAGGTTTACCCTGGTGCAGGTGTGCCGCAGCGGTCAGTGGAAGAATCCGCGAGTTTCTCTGTGAATTTCCCATTACGTCGTTGCGCACTCGGTGCTTGTTTAGGGTTTTTTTCGCTGTAAAAAGAAGTTTTCTTCCCACGCACAACGGACACTAATGTTTTTGTCACTTTTTATGGAATCAAACTCAAAGTAAGGTCAGTACTTCCACGCTTTAAACGCTGCACGCTCATACTCTCTCCCACTCGATATATGATCCATTGTTGATCTGCACACAGCTGTTGTCACGAACGGCGCACTCGCTTACGTCACTGTCATGAGACATTCTCGCAAAAAAAATCACGGTTTTAGTAACGCAGTAACGCAGCGTTCCTACGGGAAAGTAACGGTAATCTAATTACCGTTTTTGCAATAGTAATCCCTTACTTTACTCGTTACTTGAAAAAAGTAATCAGATTACAGTAACTGCCCATCTCTGATTAGCACATACCTTAAACACTTAAAGCTGTAAGCTAATGATAGTTATATAAGAGCAGATGCATGCTGGTGCAATAAGCTGCACTTTTACATCCACTGGATGCATGATCTGATTAGTTGACTAATCGCAAAAATAATCGGTGACTCGTCG